GCCACGAGGGGGCGGTGTCTTCTTCTCCTTTCTCTCTGGAGACACAGCAGCAGCCACTCCTGCCACAGCAGCCACCCTCTCCTTCCTTAGCTTTTCCAATCCTCCAGGATGCAAGGCAGCAGCCGTCCCTGGCTGCCTCTGCTCTGCCAGGGGTGGAAGCTGTTATATGAAGCAAAAGGAAGGCAGCTCAGATATTTTGGCAACAAGTAAGGGTCCCATCCTGCAGCCAACAGAGAGTTTGAATGCCTCCTCTCTTCCCCAGCGTTCTTGGCAGTGACCCTCTGCTTCCTGGAGAAGCCTGGACACCACTGAGGTTTGGTTAAGAAAAAGATTGCTGGCAACATAGTACAGAATGATGGAGTTGCTCCCCAGACTGAATACAGGAGTCAAAAGACATCCCAAAACGAACACATCCAAAGGGATCCTTTCAACAGCCTCCCTGCAGGGATGCAAGACATGATCCTACATTCATGTCACATACCCAGTCATGTCTCCCCTGCCTGGTGGARGCTGCCAGCCCACCTCTGGGTACTTCCATCCCTTTGGTGGCTCTGTCCTTCTTCCCAGACTTCTCAATTGGAGGCAGTGAACTGCAAAGACACCACACAAGTACTTTGAGAACAGTGGGAGGCCTCCCCAAAATACTGCTGCCCATTACCCACTCTGCAGGAAGAGCCAAGGCCTTGGGCATACGCCCATATCTGCTCTCCATAAGTACAGGCAATGTGGCCAAAGGTGACAGCTCCTCACAGCTGTCCAGGAGCATGGGATTACCCAAAGCCAGCTCTCCYAGACTCTCACCTCCCTCTCTGCACGGCACCATCAGCCTTTTTCTTTTGTCTCCCCATCGCTCTCAGATCATGTATCCGACTTGGAGAAAGACGTGGACGAGAAAGGAGGCGTTGGCTGGGAAAGTTCCCTGAAGAAGGAAAAGGGGAAGCTCCTCTCAACTGCATCTCCAGAACACTTTGGACATGAGGGATCTCCCAGCCTTCCCATCCCAGTCCAGTCCCCTTCCCTGAGGGCCATGCTACTCCATGGTCCTGTTTGGAGGACCAATCCACTGCTTACTTGGRTCCCCATTCAGAAAAAGAGGGACCTGCTGGGACACTTTTCTGGCAGTAGACAGAATTCCCTTTGGCATGGAGGATGTCAGTTCCCAGGAGGGGACATACCCAGAGTTGTTTGGTGCTTGCTGTTGATTTTGATCATGATTCCAGTGCCTTGTAGGGAAGTATTTACAGGATGTGGCTGGGACTTCCCATCTGCCTGCACAAAGCTGGAAAGAAGGTGGTGACATCAGTTTGAATAAGGGGYGGCAGGGTCCATGACAGCCTCTGGAAAGAAGCTGTCCCAGGCATTCAGTTTTCCAAAGGAGACATAACATGGARAGTGGCACAAACACTCCACTGGAGGATGGGCAGAAGAGCCTCCCTCCACAGGGCTCCTCTCAGCTGGGTCTGGGATCCCCTTTGTCAGAGAAGCTTTTCAGGCAAAACACATCAGCAGTGACTAAGAACATCCCAGACTCTGGGGCCTGTTGGGTTTCAGTCTCTCTCAAAGGAAAAGGAAGAAGCCAGTGGAGCTACCTGCTCCTTGGCCCCCAACTGCGCCTCCAGAGTCATTCYCACAGAAATTGAAAGGTAAAGCAGGCCCTCTTCCCAGGGAATCCATCTGAAGACACTCCCCAAAGAAGCCAAAATGGCCATGGACCTTGCACAATTTCAATTCCACCTCCAAAACTCAATACATCCAAAGATTCCTCCCTCACAAGAGAAGCCAGGACAAAAAGGTGTTGCTGGTTATCAMCCCCCATGTACAGAAGTAATTGTACTCACTGTGGCAACACGAGAACACCTCCAGGAGGAATCTGGGAAATGTCCTTTTCTGTGCAGGCTACGAATAATGGCTTCAGATTTGGTGACTGCAACAGAGACATGGCAGGATCCACAGGGAATTTATCTGCTGGTCACAAGGCACATAACCCCTGTGCCACCCCCAGTCCCAACCTGCCCTCCTCAACCCCCAGCCACAGCTTCCCCTCCTCAACCCCAGCTGCCTCTCCACCACCCTGTGCCCCAACATCATCCCAAATCCAAATCCACGAGCTGTGCCAGCTCAGGGACAAGGCTGTGCCAGCAGCATCTGCACAGGAGCCAAAGCCCAAGGCTAGTTCCCTGAAGCACAGGGGCAGGCTCAGCTACCAGGACTGTGGAAAGGCTGTGTCCCCAGGAGTTTGAGGGCACATGGAACACATGCCAGACTCACCTGGAGCAAACCCTCTGCCAGGCACTCTGACTTAGCCACCTCTTGGACCAGGCTTTCAAAGAACCTCATGTCCACGTAGGTCCCCCGGCACACCAGAATGCCAATGCCCTTGAACACAAAGTCGAAGTTCTGGCCACTGGACAAGGCCCACTCACAGATCTTTATGGTGGCCTCGATGCACATCGCAATGGTGGCCTTGGGCTTGTGGAGGCGCATGGCCACCTCAGCACAGACCAAATCGTCAGCTTTGGAGAGCCCTGCAGAGAAACCACCCAACACAAAGTCACTCATTCAGCCCTTCTGTGGCCCCTCGGGAGCCCACCAACACGCCTCCCACCACAGTGACTCTTCACCCAGCAGCAAATTTGTGCTTTTGTGCCATGAGCCCCTGTCTCTGCACTGCCAGCGCAGCCACCAYGTTCCAGCCCCGCAGAACCTCCCAGGTGACTGCAGGAGCCAGCAGGAATGTGCCTTCCTGTTTCCCAAGGTGGCAGGGAGCATCAGCCTCCATGGTGCCAGGAGATTCTCAGGAACACCTCCAGGAGCTCTCCAGCAGCACTCAGCACACCCCAGCACCCAGAGGGCCCTGCAGGGGCTGCTGAAGGGACTCATCTGTGTCTGGGGAGAACACAGGGCTGAAGGGCTCATCTTACCAGGCACTGGGCTGTTGCCATGAAGGAACTTCTTCCCCACCAGAAACGGTTTGTTCAGATCAAACTCCGGACTCTCCACCATTAAACCTTCCCCTTCTCCACGACAGATGGGTCTTTTCACAATCTGGATGGTACCCAGGCCCATCAGCCCAACTTTCTGGAAGCAAAAGCAGGCAATCAGAGGACAGACGGCAGGGGAGGCTAAGGATGATCTGYGGTCTTTCCAGCCCTGTAGCTCCAAGGCCTGAGATGGAGACCCCAGGAAAGCACTGGAGAAGAGCCTTTCACTCCAGATAGTTCCTCATTCCCTCTTCTCCAGGATCTGCAGAGTGCAAGACGTGGGAGAAATTCCCAGAGCCTGGGAAGGCCCAAGGAGTGCAGAAACACTGCCTGGTCTCTCCCACTGGTGGTGTCCCTCCTTTCCAGCCATCCTGGGGAAGACTCCAAAGGGGAAACACAACATTCCCCTGCTCAAGTTCTACTTGACTTCTTGCCTGTGCTCACAGGGGGTCTGTGGCCAAAATGMAGGGTCTGCCTGGGACACTTCTGCTCTCTAGGGTGGGTGAGGGCTAGAGAGGGGGGAGGATCAGGAAACCCCCATGGTCTGAGGGAGGACTGTGAGGAAACCAGCCCCACCTTCTTCAGCAGCAGGTCTCGGTGATAGCACTCAGACACATAATCCCAAACTTTAGTGATTTCTGTCAGAAGAAGAGAAAGGGCATGTTGAAATTATGAAGTTCATCATCCCGCCCCCCTCACCTTCCTAATCTCAGATCTCCTTCTCCAAAGGGATCCTCTCCCTGGGCAGAGCCACCAATACATTCCCACTCCAGGGAGAGGAGAATGCCAGGGCCTCGGGGGAGCTCAAGGCTTTACCATCTTTGTGGAAGTACACGAGATCTGGAGACAGCGCAAGGAGGAAGCCAGGGAAAACTTCTGTCATGGCTGCAGTTCCTTCTGCCCGACTTCTTCCTCTCCTCCTGTCCATCCCACCATGGCCCCAGAACGGGGGCACCAGGTGGGACTATGGGGCACCACGGCTGGGCTGATCTCTGGCTATCAGGGAAGTGGGTGTTGTGGTTCCAGGGAGGCAGAACATCCATCCCATTGTGACCTCACATATGTCACCAAGGGGCTGCACAGCCACACGAGACACCCTCCTGACCCCAGGCTTCGCTCCACAGGGGAAGGAGGCTGCACTTGTCATTTTGAGGGGCTGCCCCCACCCAGCCACTGCTCTTCCTGATAAATCTCCCACAACCACTGCTGAAGCACACAGGAAAATCAGATGGAAATCAATTTAGAATGATTTACATGRACACTGGGAATTGCTGCGTTACAARTTAGAAATTTGGTAGAAAACAAACCCAASTAGTCCTGAGGGATCAGAGGGGCTGGGGGCAGCAGGGCTGAATTCCTCMTAGGAGCCAGTTTCACCTGGCAGGTCTGGTCACATCCAACGGGAACTTTCACAGACACAAATTCAKCAACAGGGCAGTTTATTGGAGTGGCAGGTTACACAGACTCTTGTTGGACTGAGAGTAATAAATGCATTGGACCTGCTAGAGCTGCACAAGACGAATGCTCCCAGGAATTCTGATGCACTGAAGACACAAATCTTTGCTAAGGGGTGTCCCTGCTTTGGGGARGAGGGAGGAGCAGCCAATTTGTGTGTAAATAAGACATATCAGGAGTCATAACAGAGAGAGATTACAAAGGCTCTGGGTCTTGGCAAGGGCAGAACAGAACATGACACCTGAACATCACTCCCTTTTCCACCTGGCAGATTCCAAGCCTGAGCCTGATAACCCATCAGCCCCTCAGCAGGTGATCACACCCAGGTACTCCCATCACCACATATCCCACAGAAATCCCACATCTCAGGGGTTGGGCCTCATTCCTACACAGGCACAGAGCTGCAGCCCAGAAAAGCTGCTGTTTGTAGGGTCAGGAGATGACTGGCTTCAGTCATCAGTAAGTTTCCATTCTGGCTAGAATCCAAGTTAATTACTGGATTATCCAAAACATTTGGAACTTGTTTTCAAAMCTACAGCAACAATGCTGCCATTCCACTCAGGCTCTGACTCAGGTAGGGACTGTTCCAAGGCTGTCAGGGAATGACTGATTATCCTTTGTTCCCTGCCTTGGACAAGCAGATGCTGTTCCTGTTACAYTTGGSAGGTCCTGGTACAGTCAGGGGACAYTTTTTACCTTCTCAGGTGCTTATCAGGAGCTCCCACAGAGCAGGGGAAGGAGGATGCACCACAATTGGTAATTGCAAAAAACAGCCATAGGGCTGATGCTGGATGCACAAATAGTCCTTGAAGTGTAGTTCTGCTGGGGTTCACCCAGAGCAGGGTCCCCTGAGTGAAACATATAGGGCAACTGATCCCAGTTAAATGGATATACCAGTTATGGAGATCCCAGTCACTCCATACCACTCCATATTCCTACAGTGGGCATAAGGAAAACAAACCTGCAGCATAGCCCCAGAGAGCTCCAACGATGCCTTTGCAATCACAGATTCATTTTCTATCAAAACACTAGATGTGGCCTTATCCAGGGATTTATCCAGGGGCATCCCTTCTGGGCGGGAGGAAGGGGACAACCCATGGACATCCCTTCCAGGTAGGATGAAGGGGACAACCCCATCAGTCTGTCCCTCCAGATTCTAGGTTGAACTCTCATCCCCCAGATAGATACAAAATTGGGGTACATTTTACAAAATTGGGGTACATTTTAACGCCACAACTGTGCAAAGTACTGTGGGTGGGATCGTGGTCAAACCTCCTGTTCTCTGTGGTCCCATTGAGTGGAGTATTCCTTGGTAGGAGTTGTTGGGTACCAAGCAGAAGAATGAGACTGTGCCCTGCTCCATGTTCCTCTCAATACCACAGCAACACAAACCACAGACTTCCCTCGGCTTTCGTATCTCCAGGGCACCATGGGCCCTGTCACATTTGGAGCCTTTCATTTTCTTCCCTGTTTTATGCTTCCAGCACTGGGGGGGGGGTGGTCCTACCTGAAGTACTGTGGTTATTTTGAGCCCCCTGCTACAAGACAGACCTTGAAGCACTGTTAAGAGTTGTGGGAAATTGYCCCAGTTGCTGTGAGGTGTGGGAGAACAGATGGAGCTGTGCCAAGCAATCTCTGAGGTGGAATAACCCAGACTCTTGTTAATAGATCCCATGGGTCRCATGAGAGTGAAAGGACACTGAATGACTGATGTTTATATACATATATATATATATAGRTTTATTTTAACACTTGGGTTGCAATGGAAGTCGCCTATATAGCCATTTTGGTTATTACCTTTAAAAATATATCAATATAAAAATATAAAAAAACCACTTTAGAAAATGCATAAGGAAAAGAAAGAAAAGAAAGGATAAGAGTAGATAGTGGAGAAGAAAGGTCTCACCACACACACGTGTAGTGACAAGACTTGGTTGTTGCAATTTCAGAGTACATGGTTGAAGCAATGGTCACAGTCTGGATCCCTCAGGGGTGGGGGAAGCTCCAAAAACACAAGGTTTGGTGGGTTAATACAGGGTCAGGCTTTGTGGGAACACCCAGGTATCCTCCCTGGGGTCAGGAGTTTTACACTCTCTGATGTAGCACTGGGRKCACACCCAGTTCARTGGTGGAACCAGAAATGAGTCTGTKGGCCCTTYGGSTCTCTGATGGTTTGTGCCCTTTCYAAGACCTGACTCTGCCTCTCCCCAGTTCTGCCCCATGAGAAGGGATGAAACCCCTCAGCCCTACATGGGAGTGTCCTGATACCTCCCCTGGGATCTGTGGGAGCCAAAGGCTCGGTGGGG